GCATAGCTCACCCTACCCCCCTCTGTTCGTTTCTCTATCTTCACTCTTTCTCCTCCTTATTTTTATTCTTATCTCCCCTCCTTCGTTCTCCCGTCTTTATTTATTCCCCTCATTCCCACCCGGCCCTTTCCTCATATTCTTTATCGCTTGCTCGAGCACTTAACAAACGCACAACGACAAACAAACGATCTGCTTTGCTTTTTTTTTCTGTCCGCGAGTTTTATGTCTTCCTTAAGTGGGCGAGTCTGTCGTGATTAAGTGGTAAATAATGATTTAGTGAGTTTATTGTTTTGTTTTGCGCCATCTTGTTTACGGCTGTTTGTTTGGTTGTTTGCCGACGGATTCGTTGGCAGTGCACACACGCACGCAAAGACGGACATATATATATATATACACGAATGGATGTGCAATTGTGTACTTGGGTCTGTGTGTGTGTGTGTGTGTGTGTGTGTGTGTGTGTGTGTGTGTGTGTGTGTGTGTGTGTGTGTGTGTGTGTGTGTGTGTGTGTGTGTGTGTGTGTGCACGTGCGTGTGTGTAAGCGTACTCTCTGTTTTCACCCTAGCCAGTTCTCCCCTCTCACTTTCCCTCACTCTCCTTCTCTTCCTCTCCCACTCTTTCCCTCACTTTCTATTTACGACTTTCCATCCATCTTAAAGTTTGGATTATTTCGTTTTCTCGCGAGGCCTATCCATCGCCAGATTTTGAGGGAGCAAAATTTCCCCTCCAGCTAAGTGCACCGTTCCTCCTGGAAATGTATGGAGACACTTACAGACCCTCCCCTCCTCCCTCCCTCTCTCCTGTACACATGCCCCCCCTTCCCTCTCTACCTCCCCCCTCCTTCCCTCTCTTCTGTACACATGCCCCTCCCCCTCACCCCTCCCTCCCTATCTCCTGTACACATGCCCCCCCCCCCTCCTTCCCTCTCTTCTGTACACATGCCCCTCCCCCTCACCCCTCCTTCCCTCTCTCCTGTACACATGCCCCCCCTTCCCTCTCTCCCTCCCCCCTCCTTCCCTCTCTTCTGTACACATGCCCCTCCCCCTCCCCCGTCCCTCCCTCTATCCCATACATATGCCCCCCTCCCCCTCCTTCCCTATCTCTTGTACACATGCCCCTCTCCCTCCCTCCTTCTTCCCTCTTTCCTTTACACATTCGCCTCCTCTTCTTTTCTTTCTCCTTGTTTCTTTCTGCTCTCACCTTCTTTCTATTCCCTTGTCCTGGTCCCTTCTCTCTTTCACTCGTCCTCAAACACCCCTCTCTTCCTTTCTCCATCTTCTGCCTTTTCCTATCCTCTCTTCCTCTTCTTCCCCTTTCTAACTTTCATCTCGCGAGCTTTCATTGATAACTTTATTTGTGTATGTTTACCTACGGAGTTTTTTTTTCAGATTGATATAAACGAAAAGCTTTAGATAACTGAGAAATCTGAGATGCTGGTGAGTCTCATAATGATACGGATGTTATTGTTAACGGCAATAAAGAGTACCAGGAGTTTTTTAAATAAACTACGTATTATTAATCATTCTAACACTAGCTACTATAAATATGTTGAGTCTTAATATCAGAAACTAATGACAAAATGCAGGTTCACAAAGTTATATACAATACGTATAGATATAAGACACATAAAAACATGCATATCAGCATGTCTGTATAACTTGCTCATATATATATCTATTGGTGAATCAACATTCCTGGCAAAAAAAAGAGAAAAAAAAAACGCTTACAAACAGAAAAAAAAAACTTTCAAGAAACAACTTTGGAAGTCATGCCTGACGCTACATTTAGTTACATAACATTCGTCCCGCTTCAATACCTTTCCTTAATAATTAATGTACCCAAGTAGCGTAAGAGGATAACTGAAGAAAACTTGAGGGCTAGACGCAATTAATAATGCTTACACACACACACACGCACACACACACACGCACATACACACACACATATATGTAAAACGAAAAGGATATTATTGTGTCTGTGTAATCTCGTTAATTCTCTTTTCAGACATTAAGATATATTTCTATTCTATATTTATTTGTCTTGGTCTAATCCTTTCCTTTGAGTTATCTCCCTCTTTACTTTATCTGTTTGGCGTTATCATCCTGTTTCCTCTTGTGCTTGATTACTTTAATGAGTAGGAAATGTAACATAAATAGAATTGTATGATACTGGTAAGCGAAGCAGAGAGAGAGGGAGAGGGAGAGAGAGAGAGAGAGAGAGAGAGAGAGAGAGAGGGAGAGAGAGAGAGGGGGAGAGAGAGGGAGAGAGAGAGAATCAGAGAGAGATAGGGGGAGGGGTATGCGAAGGAAAAACAAGGAAATACAAGGAAAACCAATATAAAAAAAAGCAAAATAGCAAAAAACAAAAAAATGAAAACCTCAACTGACAGGCCTTATCTGACCTCTATCGCACCCCCCCCTCCCTTCTATCCCCTCTTCCCTCGCCTCCAACCGCCTCCCCTCACCCCCCCCCCACTCCTCCCCTCAGCCTTGTCCTTCTGTGCTTGCTTGCTTGATCGTGACCTAGTTTCCTGTGCTTCTCGCGTGGTGCTTGCACGAAGGGGAGAGAGGAAAGGGGGGAAGAGAGAGAGATAGAGAGAGAGAGAGAGAGAGAGAAGAGGTCGTTCTTCTTGCTCGGTGAACAGAGATCGTAAAGGGTATTCCTAAGTGGGGGTCGTAGTGTCTGTTATCAGCTTCATGTGTAAATATATGCGTATTTTTTTTTTTTTTTTTTTTTTTATGGGCGTGTGTTCATTCGTTTGTTCTCTGTAAGGCGCTCTGCGAAGGGGTTCAGGAGGAAGAGGAAGAGGAGGAGGGGGGGAGGGGGGGAGGTGGTGGATAGGTCTATGGGAATCGATGGTTGTTGTGGTGATGCTGGTGAGAGGGAAAGAGGCGGGTGTGGAGTGGTGGTGGAGTGGGATGGGTGGGTGGAGCGGTGGTTGTGGTGGTGAGGTGGAAGTTTGGTAGACATTGTGATGCGGACAGAGGTGTGGTGGTGGTGTCTGTGAACTACAAAAGGGTAAGTGATGGTGAGGAATGGGTAGGTGATGGTGATGGGGCGAAGGGGGGGGGAGGGTGGAGGCGCCAAGGTGGAGAGGTATCTTCCCCGAGTTGTTGTGGAAAGAGGCAAGAGGTGGCGACGAGGTGGAGGGGAAAGTTTCAGCGATAAAGAGGCGGAAAATGATGGTGAAGTGGAGAAATGTTAGTGATGATGGTGATAATAGTGATGCGGGGTGAGCGGTGTGGTGAGGAGTGTGGTGGCGGTGACCAGGTGGACGCCGATAATGATAATGGTACAGGAAAGGGTCGGGGATGGCGGTGGTGGTGAGGGATCTGTGGTGGTGATGAGGTGGACGGGGCCGCATGATGGTGGAGGGAGAGGTGGAGATGAGGTGGTGGCGTCGGGCGCGAACGGATGAGGTGGAGCGGCCCCGTGGTGATGACATGGCGTGGAGCGGGTCGGGCGGTGGTGATTGCGAAGTGGAGCGGCCGCGGGTGGGGGCATGGTGGCGTGGTGGAGCGGGCCGGGTGGTGGCGATGTAGCGTGGTGGAGCGGGCCGGGTGGTGGCGGGGTGGCGTGGTGGAGCGGGCCGGGTGGTGGCGGTGGCGTGGTGGAGGAGCAGGACGGGTGGCGGTGGCGGTGGTGTGGCGAGGTGGAGCGAGAGAGACTGGGGTTCGCTGGCTGAGTCAACGAAACAGCTGCACACTACGCAGTCATACCAGAACTTTCATAGCTTTTTCTTTCGACTTGTCTCTCCCTCCTCCCTCCCCCCTCGAAAAAATCACAGATCTCAGCCTCCTTTCCAGCTGGGCTTTCGGGCTCTGCGTCAGCCCGAGCGGGTCGTCGTGGCGATCGGCGACCGAGTGCCAACCCGCCACCGAAATCGGTCGCAGGCGCTTTTAATTTATGAAAAGTCGGCCGTGGCTCGACGGCGGCGGCCGAGCGTTCGCATCGATCACGTCTTCCTCCGCCGGCGGTGGAGACCCTCGAGCCTCCGTGGCGCTGCCGGGCCCGGCCCACACTCTTCTACTTCGCCCTTTCTTCGTGGCCGTGCCCTCCGCAGGCCCCCAAGTGTGCCCCCGTCCTCACCAACGCACCCGTCGGCGGCCAGGTGACGACGAGGCCCGAGAGGAAGCGCTTGTTAGGGGATCGATGTGCGGTGGTTGGGCCGTTGGCTCGTACGTCTGGCACGGGTCCCGCGAATGCACCCGGCTGCGCTCTGCTGCCATCTGGCGCCCGACCCCGCGCTCGCCAACCCGATTAATCACTTTTACATGCTCTTTTCTATCCATTTTCGGTCAACCATGAGTATCTACTCGACGCGGAATGTCAGCCGAAAATCAGAGTGTATCTCCAGTCCCGCAGAAAGAAGCCACGAGCAATAGCAAGGGAGAAATAGGGGATAAAAAAGGCCGATGTTGTGTGGCTGAGCGCCCCCGCCACACTCCCTTGTTCGGCGCCGCACACACTCGAGTCCCGCGGCTTGGAGGACGCTCGGTGGCTTCCCGCACGCTTTTCTCGCCCAAATTCGAGGGTCCAGTGCCGAAAATGTGCTTAAAATGACGCGCAGGACCTGGTTCAAAGTGCAGTGTGTGATGTGAGTGCAAAATAACGGCGGGGAAGTGAAAATTTAAAGGTGAATTCGAGGTGATAGTTGTAAACTGGCTGGCGGTGAGATCGGTTAGTCGCGCCTGGTGACTGTCGCGCACTTTTTGTCATGGAACTCGCAAAGCCGCGTGCCAGCCTCGCTCCAAGGAACTCCTCGACCCGACAGTGCTCTTAAGGTGTCTCTTGCCCTCCGTGGCTAGGCCTGTGTCGGCGGCGTGCCCCGAGGACCGCAGGAGAGGCGCGAGTCGTCGAGGTCTCGCGGAGGAGGTGGCGACTCGGCTCGACCACTCTCGCCAGGCGGAGGTTCCTCTTGGTCGATACCGGCGCCGCTTCTTCCCTTCCACACACCCACCTATTTTAGCCAGCACGCCCTCGCCCGCACGCCCTCGCCCTCGCCCGCACGCCCACGCCCATCGCCAGCCCCTGCTCTAGGACCCACGCCCTTCGCCGCACGGACCTGGAGGCCGGCAGAGGCGACGCACAGGTAAATATGAAGGCTTTTTTCTCCCTCCTCGCAGGCCGACCATGAGGGTGAGGAGCGAGGCTGGGTTTTCCGAGGGTGATTGAGCTCAAGGGTGAGTGCGGAGCTGCAGGGAGGGGGGGAAATTGTGTGTGTGTGTGTGTGTGTGTGTTTGTGTGAGATTGTGTATGCCTCCGGTTGTGTGTGTACGTGTGTGCGTGCGTGCGTGCGTGAGGCTTGGGTATTTTTTATGCTTTATTTTATTACGGAGAAAGGGGGTTGTTAAGGGTGAGTTGGTTGGGTTGTCGAGTGTGAAAGGCGAGATCAGCTGACGAGTGAGTGAGTGAGAGAGAGAGAGAGAGAGAGAGGAGAAAGAGAAAGAGAGGGGGGGAGAGAGAGAGGGAGGGAGGGAGGGGGACAGAAAGGGCGTTCATGCAGGTAGTGAGGGAAGGGCGCTGGCGAGGAAGACGGGGAATTACATGCGACAGAACCTCAGAAAGTCCCTCTCCTTCCTTTCCTCTTCTTCCCTCCACCTCCCCTCCCCCTTCATCCACCACCTCCTCTCTCTCTCTCTCTCTCTCTCCTTCAACCTCCCTCCCCCTCCCTCCCCCCCCCATTCCCCCACCACCACGAAACCCTCAATACCTTGCACGAAGACGCCCTCGGAGGGCTTTCGGCGAGGACGTGGCGGGCGTGTGGGCGTGGTGGGCTGAGTGCGTGTGCGTGCGGGCGGCGTGGGCGGGGTGGGCTGAGTGTGCGTTCATCAGCTGATACGAGCATCACCCTTTTTGCATGGCGACCCGGGTGGTGGCGGGCAGGCGGGGAGGCGGCGCGCGGGGGCCGGGCGGCGGGCGCTCAGCCGGGGAGGACGCCCGCCGCCACCGCCACGTCGCTACGTCTAACTACCGTTTTTTTCGTGATTTCTACTTTATTTGCACGTAAGAGGCCTCTGTGACACGTTCCGGACATGCCGGCGAGGCCCCCGCGACGGCACCCGCGAAGAAGGCCCGGCTGCAAGGGAATTGAAACAAGCAAAAGCTGCAATATGCATTACATGTCAATTATTTACTTTCATGTCAGGCTTCCCTTACGCACGTGACACGCTGTAAACAATGACAACGTGGCCGAACATCCACACACCCATAAACGTTTTTTGAACACGTCTTCTCTTCCGCCCTCGAACTTCTCGGTCTCGAGATCGGGAATAGAGATGGATTGGGGGGGGGAGGGGGTGAAGAGGCCGCGGCATACGCCCCTGTTGACGGAGGAGGCGCCTGGTAATTGTTGATTATTAAAAGGATTGGTGGTTCTTGCCCCAAAACTGCTGCTGGTCCCCACGTGTTGAGCGGCAGCAAGTCTACTTTGCCCTTCGCCAACGTTTCCCGCGGGGGAGGGGGGGTGTGGTAAGGTAAGGGCACTGGAAGGAGGGGAGGGAGAGGGGGTGAAATTTTGAACGTTTGTCGAAGGGGGAATAGGTGCAAGCTGATGTGGAGGGTGGAGGGCGAGGGCGAAGGCGCTGTGGTGGAGAGGGCGAGGGAGAGGCCTCGCCACCACACCACGCTTACCTTTGTCGTTCCCGCAGAGCGTGTGTGTGCCGCATTAGCCTCTTTGGGCATTTTATTGTTTGCACATATGTGCATTTGGAAGTTGCAAGATGTGTCTGTTTCTTGCAAAACCTCGAAGGAGAGGCCCAGTGTGTGTTTGTGTGTGTGGCAGCGCGTGTGTTGGGGTTGTGTAAGCAATGGAGGCGAAGCGAAGTGTTGGGTAATGCAGTCTCGCCGATTTTTACTTGTTTCTCTCAGTCGACTGTGTTTCTTAGAATCCCTCTTGCATATGGATAGTTAGGATAGTAGCCAGTGTAGGAGAAGGAAATGAAAGGGAACATAGCCAGAGGGAAAGGGGCTAGCTTGGCTAGGGATAGGCCTGCCGGTCTCTCGCGGTGCTCTGGAAAGCAGCTGTGTGAGGGACGCTACTCGTGTAGGGGGAAGGGAGGGGGAACGGAGGGGGGTGGAAATGTTGGAAATTCGCTGCGCTGGGACTGGGTGGATAGGTCTGGTTCAGGGAATAGAGAGGATAGGGAATGGAGGTGGTGTTTGATTGTAGCAGAGGCGGGTGGTGTGGCGTGGAGCGTTGGTTAGGGGGTAGAGGAGAGAGAGTGAGTCGGAGGGTGTGGAGCGGGCTTGGTGTGGTGAGAGGGGCCGAGAGCTTGGCTTGGCTTGGCTCGGCTTGGCTTGGTGTGGCAAGCTGTGTTCGAGTAACGGGCTAAGGTTGCGCTTGTGAGAGGGGCTTGCTGCTCTTGCGTTTTGGAGCTGTGTGGGCATGGTGGGTTCGAGTTCGCTTGGTTCGTTCGTGCTTCAAACACAAGCCGTGTTGAGTTTGGCGAGGGAGGGGAATGTGAACGGGCGGGCGGTCGCTGTGAATGCTACAGTGCGGCG